CTTTGTGGAATTTGTTTATTATTGCTTAAATATTAATACCATCATTCAACGCCCTTAAAACTCCACCAATCCTACCCATGTATGTATCTAATGTTGGTGAAATTTTAAAATATATTTGGAAATTTACAATAATTAAAAAAAACTTTTTTTTTTAGAGAAAAGATGTAATATTTTTACAATTGAAGTAATATAATTATTCATGAATAAAATCTTTCAAAAAGTTATTTTCTTTTAATAAATGACATAAGTTTCTTTATAAATATAAATATTTATTGGACATTTGAAAGACACGAAAATAATATATTTCAAGTACCAAAAATCATATCTAAGTCATCCTTTTATTGTTTTAGTGCACGAGAATAAGTGAAAGAACTTTATTTTGTAAAATTTGTTGATCGATATACTTAATGTGAACGTGCGTTTCATGTTAAGGTTTCTAAAGTATCTTGAAGAGGATTCGTCGGACAACCCATTTATATCTAATTTGGCTAAATTGATGGAGGCGAATCAAATCTAAAACTTAGTGTTAACACACACTTTGAAATTTATTTTGTGTATTTATCGTATCGTTTACATCTTTTTCTTGTCCATGTTTTACAGTATATCCTCAACACAATATCTAACAATCTTTAGGTTTGAATCAAACATCAATGAATGAACTATTGTGCCATAGACACATTTTAAATACAAGAAGAATTGATATTATTGATCCGGGTACCTTTCTAATATTTCTAATTAAAAAAATCCGTTGTTGAAGTGAAACACTTTAGTTACTGGATTTTGAATGTGTAATTGCTCTTGTTCTTTCATTTTACTAGTAGTAATAGAACGAAAAATATATAAAATGGAAATATTATATTTAAATTTAATGTCATACTAATTACATTGATAATAGCCCCAACTTACAATTTGGAATCTATTTATATTAATTATATACTTTCTTTATTTTGATATGCATAGTTAATAATTTGTCCTAACCTATATATATATATATATATATATATATATATATATATATATATATATATATATATATATATATATATATATATATATATATATATATATATATATATATATATATATATATATATATATATATATATATATATAAAGTATGTTATTCTACATAAAGGTGATTTTTATATAAGATGATATTGAGGTTTGTTGGTTATATATATCATGGCAGTGTTGTATGTCTCATTGATTTAATTAATATATACATTTTAATTCCTGTTATGTTTTGTTAACATATATGTATATCTATATCAAGTAAACCATGATTGACAATGATACGATGTTTTTGGATATAACTGAATACGAAAAGACATCATTAAAGAATGCGGAACAAGCTCATATCTAATTAATCATCAATAGTGGAAACTCAACTCGCACTTGATTAATGTTAAGTCTTGAGTTCAAGGATGAAAATACACTATTAGAGTGATTGAAGTACTTGACAACAAATGCATTCCAAGGAGTAAAAGTACTTGGACCATAAGAATAAATGTGGTAAACGAAGTTTCCTCTTAATAGTCATGTAGCATATGTTTACTGGAATGTATAATTATGAGTGTATTTCTGATATAGTCTACCTATATGGAAATAAAGTGGTGCCGCTTCAAAGAGTTTAAGGGCTTGATTCTTAAATTCTCATGAAAAGGATAATAGACACGAGGCCATATTAAATGTGTCATATTAATAATTCGATCAATGGTATCGAGATTTCATGTGTGAGTTATGTATATTTATTCTAATGAATAAATGGTTCAAAGCTTGTCTACCAATCTATTCAGGGATGAGTGAAAACTTAACTTACTAAATAATGGTTCAAATCGTAAGACACCTTTATCTGAAACCATGAAATTTTTAGAATAATTGATTTAGATATATTTTGAAAATGGTGGGGATTGTTGGTGAAATTTCCAAAATATATTTAGAAAGTTGCAATGGTTAAAAAATCCTTTTAGAGAAAAGGTGTAATGCTTTACAATTGAAGCAATGTAACCATTCATGAACAAAATCTTTCAAAAAGTTGTTACCATTTACCAAAGGACATAAGTTTCTCTATAAATACAGACATTTGTTAGGCATTGAAAAGACACAAAAATAGTATATTTCAAGTTCCAAAAATCATATCTAAATCATCCTTTTATTTTTCTAGTGCACGAGAATAAGTGAAGGAATTTTATTCTGTAAAATATCGTTGATAGATATGCTTAATGTGAATGTGCGATTCATGTTAAGGTTTCCAAAGTATCCTGAAGGGATTCACCGGACAACCCATTTGCATCCAATTTGGCTAAATTGGTGGAGGCGAATCGAACCTAAAGCTTAGTGTTAACACACGCTTTAGAATTTATTTTGTGCAACTTTCATCATACCGTTTACATCTTCTTCTTGTCCATGCTTTATAGTAGAACCCCAACACAAGATCTAACATCTAATGTTTGGTATGTCGTGGTAAAATAATCTATGATTGAATTAAACACAATAGCTATTTGGTGTACTATCATGTTGATAATTTCATCACTATTATCATTCATTTTATGTATAAGACATTTTATAGAGTGATGTTATTAATCGAAGATAACATAGGATTTTGCATATAATTATGAAGAAATCCATTATTGTTTGTTCATATATGGTTTACTTGAATTCTAGGATCTTGTTTTTATGTTTTCTTCAACATCTACCTATTGCACCCTAAAATGTGTCCTCCTAATTATACTTTGATCTCGCTTAGGCTTAGCATCACATTCACATCTTTTTATTAGGTCATTTACATAGCATACATTCGCATTCAAAAAATACCTTGAGGTTTAAAGGATCAGTTGAATATGCAAGTTAGGGTTTTCAGTGACTGAGGTTTTCAGCCTGATTCCTCTGGTTATTCTTCAAGCTATAAGGTTATTTTCTGCTTCTAAACATCAAATTTCCAGGTTTTCCTCTCCAAGGTTAAAGAGTGGGGTTTTCACTTGTGCGACTAAGATTTCATGTCAAGGGTATTCTTCCATGTTTCAAGCCTTATCATCCATCTTTAAGAATTGCCTCATTACATTAATTTTGGGTTGAGATAACTTGTTATTAAGGATTGAGGATTGAATTGTGAAACATGATTCATGGCACAAGATATGAATTTGTGGGTTTATTCTTGATCAAGGCGATTTTTATTCTCATCATTGTTATTTTTTGTTTTCAATACAAGTGGATTTGGATCGAAGTAGGCTTCTCATAGAAGAATTCATGCAGAGTGATTCAAGATTCATCATGATTCAAGGTTCAAGGAATTCAACATATTCATTCATCACAATTTCAAACATCATACGTCATTCATCAAAATCAAGTACAAATATCATGCTCCAAATTTCATCACACCACTACGCCATCAGCTTAATTCAATTTGAAAGAAGAAAGATGAATACATTGAATACCTGAAGAAATTATCATTAAATTCAAGAGGTTTCAGAAGTTACATACAGAGATCCATATCACTGTTAAAAATCGTATAACATTTCCATTCATCATCATGATATGTTCAAACACATTATTATCTAAATCTTTTCACTCATTCAAGTTCCAAGCAAGTTCATTTACATTGTGTTGAAAAGATTATATGACAAAGGGAGATTCAAGATTCAAAATTCCTAATTCTAACATGTCCTCATCCTCAATTTCATCAACTCTTCAAACCTAAGCCTAAGTCTACACCAATTTTCACGCTCCATTTCCTGAACTCGTGCTTCTCTAATGCCTCGACTCATCTTCTGGCCATTCCTCCATCCTTTATGCTCATAATCCACTTACCAATATCAAGCTTTCATGACTAGCCATGCCTTGCCAACAAAACCATCATATTATGCCTTGCACCAAAATAGATCTAAACAAGTACAACAAGGCTGCAATTTTAAGCTTCTCTAGCCTGCAAAACAGTCACAGGCAATCTTCACCAAACATGCAACTTCAGGCCATGTTCAAAACCAAAACCTCCCTGCATCAATTGAGAAAGCGAGAGAATATTATTGAGAAAAGAGAAAAACTCAGAAAATATAAAGAGAGGAAACCATAAAACGGATTAAATAAAAAAGATCAAATTTCAGCTAAAACTCAAATTCAATCTCAGCATTTCAGTCTCAGCCTTTTAGTCACTTGTAACAGGAAAGAAAAAATCAACGGCTCGGATCAGATCCAAGGCATTTTTGTAACACACTTTTAACAATAACAGAATTTAGTTGGATGGTATAAAGAAATGCAGTTATGATTTTATCAACACAAGAAGTTACAACTCAGCCTCGGAAAAAATGTCCCCATCGAGTTTTTATAACATAATTTCAATCTAACGATGGAGAGATGTTAACCCGTAACAAACTCATAACATAAAAATAAAACAGAAAAACTCACCACATAATATTATTCTTCAATTTTCTGCAGAAGAATCACACAGAAAACTCCAAGAAACTCTCTCTTCTCCTCTTATCTTCTTCTTCATTCTTCATCAGTAGAAGAATCACACCAAAATTCTATCTCCTCCTCTCATCTTCATTCTTCACAATTCTCAGAAGAATCACAAGAAATTCCAGAAAATCCTCAATCTCTCTCTCTCTCTCTCTCTCTCTCTCTGAAAATGGCTTCACGCTTCATCTCCATGAGCATCATCTTCTGTTAATTCAACTCTCCACCTCTTGCAGCTTCATCATACATAATCTTCATATTCACGTAAAAACATAATCACGCATCAACTTCTCTTTCGATCTTCATCACTTCTTCAACCTTCATGAACACATAACTGTTCTGCAATCCCCTTAGAGTCTCTGTCAACAACGTTAAGTCTTGATCTCTGCAACTTCCTCGATTCATCGCAAAAGCTGCATTGTTTCTTCTTCAATCTGATTGTTTAGCAACAATATCGATCTTCATCGTCATCACCTTCAATTCTTTCTCTCTCAGCTTCACCTCTCTATGAGTTCACACGCTGTCACCAATCATAATCTGCAAGCACTTCATGCGTCTTCAACATCTTCTTCAATCAACGCACATAAATTCACAAAAACGCAGGGAACATAAGATCGTGAAACAAAGAAGTAAGAATAAGATCAATACCACAACGACACACAAAAACACGGAGAGACTGAAAGAAGTAGGATAAAGGAAGAATTTACCTCTGGATTTCTCGTTCGAAGTCACCGTTGAAGAGCTACCGGAGTTCTCCGGTAGGTGAGTCTTGAACTCTTCCATACATTTCGTGTCTCTGGATGATCTAAATCTCGTGAATCTGTAGCATACGGTGCAGTTTAGTTCGTATCTTTCTTCATTTTTTGGTTCTTTGTTTGGTTGAGATGAAAGAAACAAGGGTGAATCGGAAAACATGAGAAGATGAAGAAGAGAAGATGGAGGTAAAGAAGCGGCGAATGGTGTGGTTACAGTGGCGTGTTTGATCGGTCATGGTGGAAGGAGAAGAGGAAATTGGAGTATTCGCGAGGGAGAAGAAGAGAATATCGTGGAATCTTAAAGGTCACAATATCTTAACCTAATTTGAAACGCACCGTTCCATATTTTATGTTTCTTTTCTTTTCTTATATTTTTTTGTTTTAATTCCCATAAATACTAGTTTAAACAAAAGAAAAGCTGGACTGGTAATTTTGTGATTGGACCGAGTTGCATTTTACTGAGGCCCATGGCCATTTTTTTTGTTGGAAGTTAGAGTTTTGCTGAAGCTATATAAAAATGGCTTATTGGACATTGTAGGATGGACCTAGCGCCTGATTTCTAGTCATACATCTGAATCTAGTTATACACCCCTCTGTAGTGGTTTATACTAATTGTTTTGAGTCAACTTTTTCTTTCCAATAATTTTGGAAGGTGTTGTTGATAAAAATGCATGAATAACAAAAAATAGTAGAATATAATAGATTTTTTTCTAGGATTTCTTTTTTTTTTCTTCATAATTTTGGTTAGAGTTTTCTATTATTGTTTATGTTCGGAAATCATTTTATTGCCAAGATTTTGTGATTCACTTTTTCTTGTCGAGTTCTGAGTCTTATGTAGGTTTATTGTGTGATATGTGAATATGCTTGAGTTTCTGATTGTGATTTATTTTCATATCGACGATGCTTCAACACTTATTCTAAGCATTTGATTTCTGACTCTTTTCTCTGTTGCTTGGTGAAGCTTACTCGAAGTTTTCTGGGTTTCTCTGCTTTGCTTGCTGTGCTACGAACTTTTGTTCGTTCGGTATCACTACGATTCTGATTTATCTTTTGGAACTTTACCGCTTTCTAGATATCATGAGAAGTAGGAAATAAAGAGCGCGTGCTCGAAGTTGTTGTTTAAAGACATGTAGCAGGCATTCTGCACTTATTTTTTATTTGTGTTTGTGCTTGTGTTTGTTTCCTTTGTTGGCGATCGATGATGTCACTCAATTAGAATTGAGATAACGACTTCGATCTTTACATTCTCCCCTTAGGATTTTCATTTTCCTTTGTTGATGATCGATGATGTCACTCAATTAGAATTGAGATAACGACGTCGATCTTTGCATGCTGCCTTTAGGATTTTCATTCCGTTGTTAATGATCGATGATTTCACTCAATTAAAATTGAGATAACGACTTCGATCTTTGCATGCTCCTCTTAGAATTGAGATAACGACTTCTCATTGCATGTTCCCTAAAGGATAGTTATCCTCTCCCTTAGGTTTTAGGTAGGCTAACTTAGGTAGGTATTTCCCTTGTGTGTGCTCTCTTGAGCTTGTTGATTACTTGCTTTTCATCCTTGTGTGCATGTTTTCTTAGGTTGTGAACCTTTGGCATGTTCCTTTAGGAGCTCTTGATTCACCATTTGGTGGTGATTCGAGATAGACATAGGTTTAGGTTGTAAGCCTTTGTTATGTTCCCTTAGGAGTTCTTGATTTATCCTTTGGTGGTGATTTGAGATAGACATTAGGATTGTGATCCATGCATGCTAACATAGGGTAGAGATTTCCCTTTCAAAACTCAACTTTGGGATCAATCAATGTATGATAACATTAGGGATATATTTAGAATAGTCTCCCTTAGATGTTTTTCTTTTCTTTTTGCATCATTGCATTAAAAATAAAACCTCTTTTTCTTGGTAAATGCATAAATCTAACAATTTTTAAATTCTTTTTCAAGGTAAAACACACCAATCAATGCAAATTATTTTCGCCTTCGGGCCTTTCTTTCAAACTTTCAAAAGAACATGTTAATTCACTTTTGTGCTGACGCGTGAGTCTCCAAAGGTCGAGTTGCGGCAAAAGGTGAAATTAATATTGTTCATTAAAAAAACAAAAAACAAACTGAAACATGTGAGCCGAACTACGACGCTCTGATTTCTTAAAAATGATACGTAGACATTTGGTCACGGGGCTCAGCCGAGCGAAACTTTGTAAATATTTTCTTCTTTTTTTCCCGTGTTTTCTTTTGCATGCATTCCCTTTATGCATTTTTCTTTTAGTTCTTAAGCTTTAGACTTGAAACACACCTTGTGATTAGAAGAACAAGAGTGGATACCATAGAGTATTACGAACGTATAGGATGCTAATACTTTTCCCTCGCGTAACATACTCCTTTACCCGATCTCTCGGTTGTTTGACCTTGATTTCACCCTTCTCAAGTTTACTCGATGTTTACCTTTCCCTTCCCGTGGACTAAAAAAACATTTGATGGAAACTTCATTGATTTCATTTCGATGATTTTATCAGCCGGTTGTTTCACTACCATCCTTTCTAGAAATTTGTTGGGTGTTTCTGAAATCTGATATCGTTTGACTATGTTTTGAGGATTTTTTAACCCTTAATTGTTGTCCCTGCTGACTTCAAACATCTGGTGTCAACCTCTCACAATACCATTTGTCTTCGTCCTAAACCTCAATTTTTTTATGGCGACATGTACTTTCATTTATCAACTAATGTTCCTAAGATGTTAGTTTGGGGATAATTTTGAGAAACATGAAAGATTATGTGCTTTAGAGTTAGAGGCCTACTTGAGCTAAATTTGAACTATTTAGATGCAATTAATGAGTTTGTTGCTTATTTGAACAAAAAATGGCCTCTAAAAGAGGAGGGCTTGATGACATGGAGATAGATTATCATAGTGTATATAGCCTTGCAAGATATATCTCGCACTGGGTGGTGGCATTCTCTATATTTGGTTGGTTGATCATGTTGTATTGTCTTAATTACTTTTCTTTATTGATGTACTAATATTATTTATTCTTCTGCAACACTTAAGTCACAGGACAAAATCATCAAGAAATTCAAAGAAAATATGGTCTGTTATTCCTCAAAGGGTATTTCCTAGCTTGCATCTACTTCTCTTAAGATTGTTATTATTGTCAATGATTTTAAGAGAGATGGAAGGGGTCAAAGATCGGACACCCGCAAAAGGCATATATGAATGGATCTCGTGTAACACCTAGGAAGTTATCTCTTTCCCCTTAGGCATAATATGGTGGACAGTTTTTCGCTCGTCTTTTAAACTCAACTTGTTATTTTCAGTAACAAGTTCAAATGTATGATTGTCATCAAAATGAATAAAAGATGTGTTTGAGTTTGCTTTGAAACTTATAACTTGTAAGGACTGTGTAAACCTATAAAAAAAAACTATCAACATGATCAACGGGTGAAATTATAAATGAAATATAATATGTTTTCATTCTATATTTTTAAGAAATATGTTGCCAAATTATTTCAAGCACTATACAAAAAAAGAATTTCATATTACTTATAGTGACGACAGATGAATGCAATGGTATAGATGTTCTATACCTATGAAAACATAGTAGACCAATGACATAGGTGTCATACATCATCATTAGTATCTCGTTAACTACTATAGCAACGGACTTAAATATGTGGTATACGCAATATGTAGATTTAAAAACAAAATCTATAAAAAAAGTTTAAGATTAAAATATTATTAATTTTTTCTATATAAATAAAAATAATTAAGCAGATGATACCATTGTTGAGTAGGGTATGGTTGTAATTTTATTGTTTCTATCACGGTCTGAAAACCGTTATTGATGGACAGGACACACGCCACTTATCACAACGGTTATACTTATCCACCATTGTGATACTTACACATAGGTATTGGGTTCGAAACTCATAAACACAAATTATATAAATCATAAATCATCTTTAATCACGGTTATAATATATAATTATTGTCAAAAGTGGACAGAGTTTATTATATAATATGTAGATTGCTTGTTTTCCCATACATTTAACTAAAGAAATACAAGCTTTCAAATTGATGAAGAAATCTATAATCTAATAATTAAGCTATTCTTGAAAACCAACTTAAACAAACCATTGTTTTTTCTGATTGCATGTGTCTCATATTGCATTTCATGCTCTTTTACATATATATATTGTGGTTTATGTATATAACTCCTTCGATACATCGTTATCTTCAATTATAGTTAAATTTCCATAACAAGAGAAAAGATGGGTGCTAGGATTTCACTGTAAAGGAAACGACGCTACTGTCAATAAGTGAGAGTTAACTCGCTTATATATGGGTAACTTTTTTTACAATGGTTATCTACCAACCGTATTGATAAGTATTTATTTATTATAAATATATCACAACGGTAAAACAAACCAACCTTAGTCATAACTCTTTAACTTTATTATTTAAAAATATATAAAAATGAAAAGGCACGCCTTAACTTTAAAGAAATAATATATATATGAGGAAACTGAGGTTTGAACCCATGAAGACTTGATGGTATCACCACAGTTGGCTCCAAAATTATAGTTATATACAATTAATTTTTAATCAAAAAACCAAAATAATATGGTAGCGTCTTAGTTTAAAGATGTCACGATGGTGTAGGGAAGAACTGTGGTGACCATGGCGTTGTTGTCGAAACTTCCAATAGCTATTTTTAATATGATTTGGTCAACTATAAACCAGATATACTACTCTAATCACAACCTCCATTGGAAGCAAGCTCTTAATCGCATTCACGTTGAAGATGCTTTTATCAGGAATCTCACTAAAAAGACTTCCAGTTCTTCTGTTTATGATTTCTCTATTATAAAAAATTTCAATATCTTGATCCATCCTTCAAAGGTTCCAAGAGCTTTCAAGGTTTTGTGGCAACCTCCTCTCAATGATTGACTTAAATGCAATACTGGTGGGATCTTTAGGGACAAGAATGGTGATTTTGTCTATGCTTTTGGTCAATAGCTGCATTGTAACTTGCTTTTCAAACCGAGCTTTTGGGCGTGGTTATGGATATATACATCGCTTGGAATTTTGGTTGGACCAAGGTTTGGTTGGAGAGTGACTCTTCTCTTGTGCTTTTGACAATTCACAATCATCTAATCATACATTGGTT